TCCTGGGGGCATGGGGAGGAAGAAGGAGGAGAGGGAGAAGAAGTGAGAGGAGTGGTAGCTGGGGAGGCATCAGGGACTGGAGCAGCAGAAGGCAGCAAGCTCTGCCCCAGGGTTGCCCCCCAGGATGCAGTCCACAGCATCAAAATAGGGACAGGGGTCTGGGTCTGCCCCTGGTTGGGAACTGCCTCCTGTGGCCCTGGCATATGCCTGCCACAGCTCCTTTATTTTCATGAGAATCTGTTCCTGGGTTCGCATGTGGCCTTTGGTGGCCTGCAGACAGTTGCGTTCCTTGATTTGGTACGGAGATCATGGACGTTGGAGGCATCCCCGCAAACCTGAATTAGGTCCCTGATCTCCACTCTGGACCAGGAAGGTGCCCACTTTTTCTGGCCCCTGGCAGGCTGCTAGGAGCTGGCAGACTGGTCCTGGAGAGCGGTGGAGGGCTGGCTGCCTGGCTCGTCCTGAGGCCATTGGGTCAGGTGCAGTGACAGCTGGCTCTGGGCTGGCAGGCTTGGAGCTGGCACAGGCACTGTGGCCAGAGTCTACCCCTTTAAGGGCTCTGGGGAGAGGGGGAGGGAGAGGAGTTTTCTTGGTTGTGCCCAGAGTGGCCACCCGGGCACCCTTAGAAGGGCTGGAGGCGCCCTATTTCGAAATAAGAGTCTACACAACACTTATTTCGAAATAGCAATTTTGAAATTGGTGCTATTCCTCATGGAATGAGGTTTACCAATTTTGAAATAAGCCCTCTGCTATTTCGATTTAATTTCAAAATAGCGGTTTGGCTGTGTAGACACCGGTAAAGCTATTTTGAAATAACTTTGCTGTGTAGACATACCGTTCGAGCTAAATAATAGCACAGACGACAGAACTAGAACTAGTGGCTGTAAGCAAACTTTATGGGATTGCAATAAACTTGTCCATACCCATGAAAAAAGGACATCTGGCTAACAAAAATCATTCTGGACAATGGATGTTTCTGGACCAGAGCGTTCAGGACTAGAACGGTTCAACCGGCGCTAGATTCGTTAGCACCTGGATACTGTTTTATACTTCATTTATTTTAGTGTATTCTAATTCTTTACCAATGGAATACACATTCGTAAAGTATAACTCTCCGTTAATTAGAATAAAATATGTATAAAGGGTAAAAATATGTTTGTTTTAATGTAAGGCAGCACTCGAATTGGTCTTGTTAAAGATTTGGAACGTGCTCAATGTAGGAAAGACTCACAAACACATGTAATAAATAATATTATGGTTTTGTCATGGTGCTCACAGAATCTGTGACTTCCAGAGACTTTGTGACTTCAACTCACAACAGCTGGGAGCTAGAGAATTGCCCTACAGTGGCCAGAAAAGGCAGGTAGAGGAGGATCCCGGAAACTCCCAGCTGTCATGGGCAGTAGGGGAATAGGGAGCTCAGAGCCACCACAGGCAGCAGAAGAACCCCACAGCATCTGGCCTCTGCAGCTAGCAGGGGACCCCCTTAAGCTCTGAGCCAGGGCCCCTGCAGCTGCCCTGGTGTGGGGACTCCCCTGCTTTCCCTTTTGTCACAGAGATTTTTAGTAAGTCACTGGTTTCCTTGAATTTCCCTTTATTGCTCATGACCTGTCTGACGTACAAAAAATACCCGTGAGAAAATCTTGGCTCGAATAATAAAACATGCTCAACAGGTGAATTGCAAACCTTTGACATGAGTTATTTTTTTACTCCACCTTACTAATTATGTGCCAAATTCCATGGATAAGTGAATACCATTTGAGCCAGTATTTTTGACCTGAATGTATATTACTCCTCCTGTCTGCAAATGCTGTCTTCAGTAACTAAGGGTACATCTACACGGCAGGGCTAAAGTTGAATTAAGATACGCAACTCCAGCTACGTCAAAAGCTTAATTCGGCTTTTGGCACTGTCTACACAGCAGGAAGTGGAAGGAAGAACACTCTTCCTTTGACTTCCCTTACTCTTCCTTTGACTTCCCTTACTCCTCCTGAAACAAGGGTTACAGGAGTTGGACTGAGAAGTCCTCCAACTCGATAGTATTTCAAAATAAAGGCTGGCTGTGTAGACATACACTATCTTATTTTGGAATAATGTCAGTTACTCCAAAATAACGCTGCTGTGTAGAAGTACCCTGACTGTACAAGTCTCAGAGGTGGGAGCCATGTTAGTCTGTAACGTAGGGGGGGAAAAAACTTTAAAAAAAAATCAACTCAGTGAGAGTTATGAACCTAAGGGAGTAGGAAGATAGTGTGATTTATAATGGGAAAATGCCTGATCATTCCCCCCCCCCTTGCCAAAATTCAGTAGCGAAGTATTGCTCATATTTGTACACCAGCTTTCAGCCGAAGATAAACCTAAGGCCGACAAACCCTAGATTATGCAGTCATTTGATCACCAGCTGCATAACTTTCGAGAAACAACCCCTGACCCCGCCCCACAATAAGAAGCTTTTCCTAAGCAATGCCTCTAGCCACCCACACAGGGCAGTACGGTTTGCAGGCAATTTCACCATTATTGGACCTAACCATGCCAGTTACAAGATCAAGAACACATATTCCTGTTCATCCAGAAATATAATTTATGCCATCATGTGCCTAAAGTGTCCGTCTGCCATGTATATTGGACAAACTTCTCAGACACTTCGCCAAAGAATCAATGCACATAAAACAGACATCAAGGCTCTCTCAGAGAGAAAACTGTTGCTTGCCATTTTAACCAGACTGGCCAATCTCTCAATGACCTTAAAACATGCATATTGCTTCAAAGAGATTTTAACTCCAGACTTCAAAAAGAAGCCTCAGAACTATCATTCATGCTTAAATTTGACACTTTACCTAGGGGTCTTAAAGATCTCACCCATTACAAAGATAGCTCTCCCATTATCACCCCTAATGTCATTACCTCACAGACACGTCTCCCCTCACCCCTCCTCAGTTCTTAAATCTGATTCGTCATTTTTATATGTGTTCACTTTTTTTTTAAATTGTATCCTTTGGTATATATGGTCGTGACAATTTTCTTCCACAAATTGATCTGAGGAAGTGGGTCTGGCCCACGAAAGCTCATCACCTAATAAACCATCTTGTTAGTCTTTAAAGTGCTACATAGTCCTGTATTTTGTTTCAGCTAGACCAGGCTAACACGGCTGCATCTCTATCACGTTAGCAGAGGCAGCGGTAGGAATCTCTCTTGAGCGAGGGGGCGCTTTAAGTATCCGATTACCTTGAACTACTTGTTCCCTGGGTGCGGGGAAGCAAAGAAGCAAAGCCAGACAGACCCTGGCACGTTCTCAAAGCCTCCCAACCCCAGTCTGCTCTCACTCCCCGAGGAATCTCCCACTGAAACCCAAAGTTAAGTCGCGGCCATGCGGCGGGTGCTGCTGAATTTACCCCAAGCGAGCTGCGTCCGGAAAGAGCCGCTGCTCATCCAAACAGACAGGAGAAGCCCCTTCGTGAATGTATCCGTATCGACAGACGCCAGGGCGACTCATCTGCCCGGCGAGAGGCCCGAGCCCAACCTGCCAACACTTCCAAAACTTCCTTGCGGGATGAATAACTCCCTACGGGCTCCCTCCCTGCGGAAAGGGGGCGTCTTGTAAGGAAGCTTTTGGGGCAGGAGAAGGGAATTCCCAGGCTAGTCCAGCAGAGGGGAGCCGCCCGCTGGATTCACAGACCAGGAGCAACACACACGCAAAGTTCTTCCCCGGCAAACGTTCAGGAAAGACCCAACGCAAGCGAGCAGCACAGCGGGGCTGGCTGGCTGGAGAGGCGAGGGGCGTGCGGGGCGAGATCCCCGTGTCTCTCCAGGCCCCGGAGGGCAAAGCCAGAGGGAGCGGAGTTTTCTCTCTCGCTCCCTCCCATTTCCACGCTGACACGGAGCAGCTGGCGGAGATCAAACCCAGAGCCCCTAGAGCGGCAGCCTGGCCTCCGGAGCTGCGTGTCCGGCCAGTCTGCAGGCGAAGAGAGCAGGGGGCCAGTCCCAAGCCCCCACACCGGCAGGAGGAGCGCGGAGCGGTTCCCCTGCTGCGGGCGAAGTCCCAGGGAGACGCGCGATCCCCGCAGGGTCAGCGGCTCTGGCCCCGGGGTGAGAGGCGTGTCGACAGCCAGGCTCGCCGCCGGGTCCCTATCCCGGGAGGCGGGCAGCTAACGGGCATCCCCGCGGCTCACGCCGCTCCAGCGAGCGTAGGGGGAACTGGGGGCGCAGAGTAAGCCCGGGGACCTCCCTTCAGCCTTGCAGGGCTTAGACCCCCCGTGTTCTCTGTGCCCCAAGCGGACTCCTCTGCCCACGCGTCCCCTGCTCCGGGATCTTTCTGTTCCCCGGGTGCCGCTGCGCCCCCTTCTCCACGGCACCCCCGGAACTCTCCCCCTCTTTCCCCCCGGGCTCCCTGCCTGCCCCCGTCGCGGCGCAGGGTCCCAGCGGCTCACCGGAGACGCGCACCAGCAGGGAAGGGGGGATCCTCCTGGAGCCGGCCACTCACAGGTCCTGGGCTGGGGGGGAAGCGGGTTCCTCGGAGCTCGCCGCGAGCCTCAGCGCCTCCCTTCGCCGCCGCCTCTTCTCTCCGCGTCTCCCTTTGTCCTTCCAGCGGGAGTGGGCAGCGGCAGCAGCCGGCCGAGGAGCAGGCGTCTCCCGCGTGGGAGAGCGGAGCCAGCTAGGCGCCCTTCCCCGGAGAGCCTCGGGGAGCCGCTGCCTCCTCGCCAGCTCTTCCTGCGCACCTAATATAGCGCTCCCAGGGCCACGTGGATTAGAGACAGGGCGAAACACGGCGGCCCCGGCGAGGGGCGGCGTGTGGCAGAGACAGGGAGGTGGAGGGGCGGCCCAGGGGGCCTGGGAGGAGGAGTGAGGGGGCGGCCCGGGGAAGCGGGAGGCTCCGACAGCGGCCCGGGGAAGGGGGAGGCTCAGAAAGGGGGGAGAGGGCGAGCCGCAGGGCAGGAGCAAGGAGGGGATGCAGGGACCGAGGAGCGCCCCGGACAGAAGGCGGAGAGCGAGGGCGAGACGAGAGACCGCTGAAGGGAGTGTCTGAGTCGGGAGCGCTTCCAGGGGCTAGCCAAGCCCGCAGCCGCCGGGAGGCAGACGGGACTCGGGAGCACAGACCCACAGACTGATTAACGTCAGCAGCACCTGGAAGCCCAGGCAATGAAGTGCCGAGAGAAGCGTAGGTCGGAATTTGGCCCCTTTCGCTCCCCCAGCACCCTTCCCTGCACGGCGGCGGTGAAAGCAACTTAACGTTTCTTGTAGAGACCGTCCTAGTGCAGCCGGGTCCCCGCCAGCTCTTTCAAGAGCTCCCTGCTGACTCTTGCCGCCGGAGCTGCCCACCAGGGCGCACCCCCTTACGTTCACTTCAGCTGCACAGAGAACTGCTGACCACCGCTCTCTCCTTTAGAGACACCCCAAGGCAGGTCCCAGCTTCCTAGTCATTAAGGAAAGAGGGTTTGGTCTGGGATTTTCAAAGGGACCTAGGAGACTTAGATGTCAGGAGCTGGCCACTCACGGTGTGTCTAGACTACAGGGTGTGTCGACAAAAGTGGACTTTTGTCAATAAAACTATACCTGCGTCTACACTGCCGCTGAGTTCTGTCAACACAACCTCGACAGAACTCCGCTGTTTTGTCAATGGCTGTAAACCTCATTTGACGAGGAATAATGCCTTTTGTCGAGAGAGTTCTGTCGACAGGCATTATTGCATCTACACTGTCCTTTGCGTCTACACTGTCATGTCGACGAAGTGGCTTGCATTGTCTACAGAACTGGATGCAGTCTAGATGCTCTTTGTCAACAGAAGGTTTCTCGACAGTATCTATCGACAAAACTTCTGTCGACAAAAGCCTGTAGTCTAGACATACCCTTACTGGCAAACATTTCCAAAGCGCCCAAGTCACTTAGGAGCCTAACACCCATTTTCAAAAACAACTTAAGAGCCTAAAATGCATTGATTGGCATTGAGACTTAGGAGCCAAAGCACCTAAGTCACTTTTGAAAAGTCTAACCTTACTGCTTCTCAGGCACCCAGGCCTGAACCTAAAGCTCTTCAAGCTAGAAATTGTGGGGAAACAAAAGCGGATCAGGACCAACCATCCCTTCCTGCAAGGCAGGGGCTGTCCAGCAGCAGTAGTCCCAGGAGCTCTTGCTTCCAGCCAGCACTTCTCCAGGACTGAGGATTAGATCTTTGCTCTCCTCAATGGACTGCCACCAACTGTGCTCAGCTCTCTCTTCCTCAGCTCCTTCCTCCAAGTCTGACAGCTCTCCCTGGCATATAGGAGACCTACTGAGCCCAGGCTAACTGATTAACTTTGCTTTACCCAGTTGAAGTTTGTATTCACCATCATATTGCCTGTGTTATGTTAACCTACAAGTTGGTTGCGGCCATTAATATGATTGCTGAGTGTTAGGATTATTCCCAGATTTGAGAATGGTCATCATCCTCTCCATCAAAGGTCACCATAAAGTCATAGAACATATAGATTACCATGTGAGATCAAACCAGTGGTGCTTTTGGTCCTGTCTCTGAAAGTGGCCAGAAGCAAGTGCAAGAAACTCTTTAGTAGATTATGACCACAGAGAATATTTCCTCTCAACTTGATCAGTTAGCAGTTGACTGTTTCCTGAAAATAAGTGTTAATATCACTGAGAGTGGTGACGGGCAACCTATAGGCCATGGGCAGTTCTATATGTGGCCCACAAGACATTTTATTTACCATGGCCCACAAGGGGGATTGCCAGATTCTGCTGGTTTCTCTTGGCATACGTTTTTTCCTGTTGGTATTACTAAAGTGACACACAGGAAAACCAAGGGCATATGAAGTGAGGTGCATGCGAACTGCATGCAATATTGACTGTGAAAGTTGTGCACTCCCTCTACATCCCATCAAACAGCTGTTATAGTTCAATGGGCACACCCTTCAAATTCTAGTTATACAAACACAGTTAACAAACCTACCCTATCCCGGGAGTCTGTCCTGGTTGCAACAATCATGTGGCCCACTAAGATGAAGGAAGGCCACTCTTCTGGCTCACTCATTAGTCTAGGTTGCCTATTGCTGCCTTGGAGTTTTTAATCAGTGGTATCTCGGGATGTTCACATTGCCTATACAAAATGTATAATTATTTTTTGAGCTCTCATACACAGTGGTGTCATGTGACAATTGAATTCCATTAGTCTTCTTGAATGTCAATTATTCAAGCATCCTAGTGAGCTAGAGTCTTGAAATTTGGGACATTTGCAGCAGTGAAAGTAACTTAAAATTTCTTACAGGTACTGTCTTGTTGCAACCCAGGTCCCTGCCAGCTCTTTGAATAGCTCCCTGATGTCTTTTGCCAGCTCTTGCCAGAGCTACACACCAGGGTGTGCCTGCTTACTTTCATCTTTGGACATTTGTTCTTTACACTGAGTACAGGAAAAAACATTTGAGCTTTGGCCTTCTTAGCAGAGATCAACACATATTAACAATTTACAAACAATAAAATAAAATTATTTTATGGGTGGATGAGACCTCCAGTATGGGAAAGTGCAAGTCATCCATGGTCTCTTCATCTGTTTTTACTCAAGGAAATTATCAAGGTTGAATGCACACACTGCAGGCACAGAAATTAATAGTGACAACCACTCAGAGAGGACTGCTAACAGCTAGTACAACATAATTGGCTCTGTATCAATTAGTTAACTGTATGATAAAAATAATCAGCATACAAACTGGTACTCTTCTTTCTTTTCCTATGGCAGCAGTGCAGGTTTAATATTGTACCCATTTCAACATATGAATCAGTGACCTACCTACTCTGCTGGAGCAGACATCAAACCCACTAAATGATTCAGAGCTAAAAATGCCCGCTATAAACAGCTGACCTTGTTAGATTATCACCCATCGAAGACTGCTTGCAAAGAATCTATACCTGTTAGAGACCTATTCCAACACATGGCCTATGGAGGTCATATTGGAAAAGAAAAAAATACCTGGCCTTTTAGACAAGGAATTCAAAATTCAAGCTTTGCTGAAATAGAGAACACTAAATTATATACATGATGGCCTCTCAATAAAAGCATCAGACAGTTTTAAGATGGCTATAAAATATTGCAAGAATTGAAAAGAATGCTGTATCATTCAAGAGCCCCCCCGGACATATTCAACTGATAAAGGTACTGCTAAAACTATTTAATAACATATGCAGCTGATTTTACACTGTGAAGTCTGCAATTCGTCAATTGCCCCTGAGCAGAAAAGGAAAAATATACCACCCCAGGTCAGACCAGTCAGACCAGTGAGCTATCTACTCTAATAACAGCTCTCTAATGGTGTCCATGGGCTTCTCTAGAGGGGAAATTCCTCCATGAAAAGACAATTATATTGTACAATAATATGTCAATGTGAGACATGTCTTCCTAAGTCCAGACTGGCAGTGCAACCCAGAGCATCATGACACTTAACTTTAAGGTGCATAGAAAAATCATTGGACCACCTAAGCTGCACAGTGAGGCTACGCCTACACTGGCAGCTTCTTGTGCAAGAACTGTTTTGTGGAAGAGTTCTTGTGCAAAAAGTCTTCCACAAGAGCATGTCTACACTGGCATGTGCTTTTGCGCAAGAGCATCTTTGGCAGTGTGGATGCTTTCTTGTGCAAGAAAACTCCGATGGCCATTTTAGCCATAGGGGTTTCTTGCACAAGAAATTCATGTTGCCTGTCTACACTGTCCTCTTTCGCAAGAGGGCTTATTCTTCATGGGGAGAGGAATAACTCTTCCAGAAGAAGCCCTGTTTTCTGATGCTGTACTTTAAATTTACGTGCGCAAGAACACACATGCAGTGTAGACACCCGGCAAGCTGTTGCACAAGAACAGCTGTTCTTGCGCAAGAAGCCGCCAGTGTAGCTGTAGCCTGAGAGATACCAATGACCAGGGTGGGTGCTAATCCCTGCAACTCTCTCTCACGGTGATTGGTGCCTAAGAATAGGATGCAACTGCTACCTAAGTAGTTTCTTGCAGGGATGAGGTTTGGTGCCTATGTTGTTCCAGACAAACCAGCTAGTGTATAATTTGGTACAGTGGTTAGCACACTCATCTGGGATGTCAGTGACCCAAGTTCAAGTGTCCTATCTTCTTCTTGAAGGAGAACAAAGGACTGAACAGGGTCTCCTGCTTCTCTGGAGAGTATGCTATCTACTGAGCTAAGAGGTATTCTGCTGAAGTTGTCCTCAACCTCAACCTCTTCCTCAACTAAAGAATAGTTAGAGAAAGGGAATTAGATGCTGGGTGCCACGTGAGCATCCAAATCACAAGGCTATACAGTGAGTCTTATTTCCTCTCCATCTTTGTCACAATGTAAGTACTTCAGCTTTAACATTTCATTTCATTTCATGGGGCATTAGGCACCTAAATGCACGTGTGTCTTGCACTTTAAGAGCCCAAAAACCAAAACTTCATTGACACAGGGCTTGTCTAGATGGGAGACTATACTAATATAAGACAAGGCGCGAATTTAATCCGATATCTTTACATCAGTAAAACTCCCCATGTAGACATTGTTATTCTAGTAAAAGGGGGACTTTTTGGTGTAGCTTAAACTAAAGCAGAAAAAATTGCTCTTATTTCAGAATAACTTTGGTCATCTGGGCAGTAAATAGGTAAGTGGGCAAATCTACATACATTCCTTAGAACCATAGAACCATAGAGCTGGAAGAGACCTTAGAAGATCATCAAGTCCAGCCCCCTGCTCTAGGCAGGACCAAGCCCAAGGAAATCAACCCAGCCAAGGCCTTGTCAAGCCGAGACTTAAACACCTTTAGGGATGGAGACTCCTCTACTTCCCTAGGTAACCCATTCC